GAACTCAGGACATTGCGCTTGCCAGGCAGGTTCTGTGCCGCTGGGCTGTTTCCAGCCCCTCTGAGTTTTATAATTGTGAGCAAACAAATGATTTTGATTGTCACTGTGCTAATGAGGCTTGTTAGGCAGTGACACAACACTAACACTTTTTTTCTGGTTTTTAAACTAATTATCCCTTCTGTGATGGATAGGCATTTGAGTTATTTCCAGTGTTTTTTTGTCTTTGAGACAGTGTCTCTCTATGAAGTGCAGGATTACCTCGAACTCATTACATAGCCCAGGTTGGCCTTGAATGCTTAGCAGTCTCCTTGTTTCAACCTCCTGAGTGTTGGAATTACAGGTGTGCACCACCACACTTGGCTTCTTAAATTTCCTTTTCTTTTCTTTTCTTTCCTTTTTTTTGTCTTTTTGAGACAGATTCTCACTATGCAGTTCAGGCTGGCCTTGAGCTCACTTTGTAGCCCAGGCTGGCCTCAAACTTGCAACGATCCTCCTGCCTCAGCCTCCCGAGTGCTGGGATTACAGGTGTGCACCACCACACCCGTCTAAATTTTCTTATCTGTATCTCTGGGTACACGAGCCAGCATGTCTCCTGGGTTTACATGTGGGAGTAGAATTGTCCCACAATGTCCTGTCCTTGGTGTTGGGACCTCAGCATCAGTCTATCTCTTCAGGATCACTGGGACAAATCTAGCATGAGTGCATGCTGGAGATTATCATTGCTTGCATTTTTGTGGAGGAATCCAAAGAAAATAGTGGCATTTCAGATATTGTGACAGTGAAGAATAGATTCCTAGTGGCCAGGGAAACAGACCCCAAGCTGGACTTCAAAGCCCTAAGCCAGTCCTGCCCCAGGTTCTTCAGTTAAGAACAGCCCTCTGGCTGGGTGTCCTCAGTGAGTAGGAATTACAGCCAGAGGTGTCCCGCATCTGGGAAGCTGAGGCAGGAGGATTGCAAATTCTAGCCCAGTGAGGGCAATTTAGTGACTTACTCTGTCTCAAAATAAAAGCTAAAAAGGCCTGGGGATGTAGCTTTGTAAAGTCCCTCTGTTCAATCCTTAGGAAAAAAAAAAAAGTAAAAAGAAAAACGGAATGGGAGTTACACATTCTTTACTTTTTTTCATCCCTAAGAAATTATTTTTAAGGCCCTCAAGAAGAAGGTGGAGCATGCGCACATCAAAGCGTGGAGGGCTTGCCCTGGGGCCTGTTTGCCGTTGCCCCCCTCCCCCCAGCCTCCTCCCCTCCGCCCACCCTGTCCAGGGCAGGAGACACGCAGGCAGAGGAGGAGGAGCAGCTGCGTGACACTGGCAGGGGTCAGGGCGGGGCAGGCCCCCCTCCCCTCAGCTGCGTGTCGTGTCTCTGCTTCCAGGGATCACAGTGGCACCACGGCCACTGAAGACTCAACAGCTGCTGGTGGCCCCGCGGCAGCAGGTGCAGAGCAGGGGCTGGACCCCTCTGCGTGCGCCGGGAGGGAGGACACTGCCCACATCTCCAGGGCGCAGCACAGCGGCTGCAGGTGGCCGGGTGCTGGCCTCCGGAGCCAGGTACTCTGCGTCCTCCGAGACCACGGAGCCCGGGCTCTGCTGCGGTGGAGGGCAGAAGGGCGAGAGGCCGGTGCAGGCACTTTGCCACACCTGGCTGGGAAGGGCGGCGCACCTCCACACCCGGCCCTTGGTGAGAACTTGACACGTGGGCTCCACCACGGGCAGGTCAGGACAGTCCACGGATGGGGACACAGATGTGTGCTGACCTTTGCTGGCCATCCCTGCCCACAGGCAGGGAACAGGCTGATGAGGCCCCTTCCTCCCCGTCTTCCTACAAGGGGGTCGTCTTCTACCAAGTCCCTGGACACAGCCACAAGGACGGTGCCACCTCTGCATTGCTGAGTGGCCTCGGGCCTTTGTGTTCTCACCTGTAAAGTGGGCGCTGTCCTGGCCGGGATCCACTGCTTCCCGCAGCAGCTGAAACCCAGGCGGAGACTCGGAGCCTCACAGTTCTCAGGGGAGGAAGTGCGCACAAAGGGACACACAGCAGGGCTCAGCTTCCCCTCCCCACCACCGGGGCTTTTTTTTAAGGACTTGACATCAAAGTCTGGGAAGTCACTGGAGCGGAATGCTGGCGAACCCCTTACTCAGCAAATCCATCTGCAGTGCCCCGGAGGCCCCGGAGGATGAGGAAGAGAAGAAAAGTCCTCTTCCGGCCCAGAAGCCAGGTACAGCGACCCTCGGGTTTCTCACCCGCGGGCTGCACAGGCCTGGGCTCGGATCTGGGGCCAGGGGCCTCCCTGCTTGAGAGGACTCCAGGCTGAAGTCTCCTTTCTGGGGAGAGCAGCAGGCCACCTGCCTCATCATCTCTAGGGCTGCGTAAGACCCCTCCCCAGCTCTGCACACCTGCCCCCTGGAGTTGTGCTGGGCACAGTTACTGGTCTTGGGGGTGCGCAGTCAGTTTATTTCTCACAATCTATTTTTAAAATACTTAACACCATGTTAGGTCATCATTCCCACAATTGAAAAACAGATCCCACCCTCCCACCCCATCTGAATTTACCGTATTAAAAACCAGGTGCTGAGCCGCGCACGGTGGCGCACGCCTTTCATCCCATCCCTTGGGAGGCTGAGGCAGGAGGATCACTGTGAGTTGGAGGCCAGCCTGGGCTACGCAGAGTCCAAGGTCAGCCTGAACTACATAGTGAGACCTTGTCTCAAAAAACAATAATAACAGTAATAATGATAATAAATAAAACTGGTGCTGGTCAGCCGGCCAGGTGTGCAAGTGTTTTGGAAAACCTCCCGGAGTGATGGATCGAAGGTATCCCCGGCTCCCACCTCTAGGCTTGGGGAGGCTGGTTTGTTCATTGGAGTACAGGTCCCTGCGTCACCTGTAGAAGTCTCAGCAGCCGGTGCCATCTGGGGACGGGCAGAGGCCTGGGGACAGAGTCAGGCAGCGCTCCCGGGTGGGGGCTGACGCAACCCATCCCCCACCCCCCACCCCTCACCCCAACCCATCAAGGCCCAGCTGCTGGCCTTGCCCGGGCTTGCCCGCTTGCATCATCTTGGGAGCCGCCCACTCACGCTGGAAAAAACCAGCTAATTATATCACCGGACTGGGCAGCTGACCCAGCCTGTCCCCACTTGCTTTGCACGACTATGCCTGATGTCTCGAAAATAATGACAACAACCAGCCAGGAAGGAACATTTGCAGGTGCGGGGAAGGCTGGGGTAGTTGTGGTTTTGTGTCCACAAAAAGCTGTGGTCCCCTGAGGCGACAGCGGGCGACCTCCCAGCCCTCTGAGCCTAGGAAACCAAAACCAAGTCCTGACTCCAGGGCCAGCCCCAGCGGCTCTGAGGACAGGATGCGCCGGGAGTCCGCGGAGTCAGAGACACAAACGCCGCTTTGACAGCGTCAGGGACAGCGGCGCGGTCATTTGTTTTTTCAGAAATCTTTAAAATTCTGTTTGTAGTAGAGTCCAAAGTGTGAGTCTTGTTTTCCCGTAATTTCCTGTATTTATTTTTTGAGTGGATAACACGTTCGCATAGCTCTCAGTCAAAAGATACAAAAGGAGATGCAAAGAAAATTCTCCCCCCCACCGCCTCCAGGCCGCTGCTTCTGCTCAGACACAGCGGCGGGTGGCTGTGACTCCTTCCGGGGGCGCCATGAGCGTCCCCGCCGAGGTCCTTCTGCCAGAGCCCTTAGGGGGCAGAACCCGGAACGTTCCAGACTGCAGACGACCTCTGTGTTTTCCTCTACTAAGCTCTATCTCAGTGAGCAGTCGTCCTGGACTGTCCCCATCTGTCCCACTTCACCCCTGTACATGCCACGTCCGAGGCACCTTCTCGTCCCAGCCAAACCAGGACCATTGGTCACCCTGGGTCTTTAAACCAAAAGGCATCAAAAAATAAAAATGTAGTGAGACTCTGTCTCAAAATAAAATATAAACAGGGCTGAGACGTAGCCCAGTGATAGAGTGCCCCTGGGTTCACTCCTCAGTACTGCAAAAAAGAAAAAAAGAACAAGAAAAGAAAGAGGAGGAAGGAAGTTTCAGTGGGCGGAGTCTTGGATATTGGAATTAGGAAGCCTCCTTTTTTTTTTGGTACTGGGACTTGAACTCAGGACTTTGTGCTTGCCAGGCAGACACTTATACTGCTGAGCTGTATTCCCAGACCCTATTCGCCCCTTTTCCAAAACCAAAGGAAGTAAGAACTCGCGGGGGGAGCTGAGGCTGCTAGACTTTTGCTTACGGAAAAGAAGACAGTCACAGACGGGGCGTTGCCAGGCTGCCTGCCAGGCTGCATACGCGGTGTGCACGGAGGTCACATTTTGGAGTCCCTTCTAGAACTTGAAGGACTAGAAAAACTAGGCCGGAGGGCACAGCCAACTACTGCTCCCCAATATTCTCTTCTCACCCCACAGGCTCTACACCGTGTTCTTGGGCAGTGTCCTCCCTTTCCTGTCTCCTGCAACTGTAGTAATAATAATAATAATAAAGTATTAAGCAGATCGCACTTACTGAGCACACTCTGCGCCAGCCTGCGTTCTGTGTATGTTACCCGTGCTTAGGCTTGGTTCATCTTTAGCTTACTCATTTTGTGATTGAGACTCAATTACTTTCATCTCCATTTTACAGGTGAGGAAACTGAGGTCGTGATAAAGATGAAATCCTTTCCCAAGCCCAACAGGCAGAGCGAGGACTTGATCCCAGACTGGCTGGCTCCGGAGGCCACGCTTGTAACCGCTAATAACAACAGCCGCTGACACTCGGTGTGCTCACTGCATGCCGGCTGGGCTTCCGGGCCCTCACCCGTCTCTGCCCTGCACACCCCTACAGGTGCTCTGATTACCCCAGGTTACACCGGATGCAGCGCAGACCCAGGGAGGTCAAGCCGCTTGCCCAGCAGCGGAAGATAGAGTAGGACTGATCAACTGGTTCCAGAATACTCAATCTAGGGGCTGGGGATTTAGCCCAGTGGCACAGCGCTTGCCTGGCAAGTGTAAGGTCGTGAGTTCAATTCCCGGTACTGGAAGCAAAAAAATAAAACAAAAAACCAGAATGCTTGATCTATCCCAGCTCCAGCCCCAGGCAGAATTTAATACAGACTCAACTAATACTCCATGGGTCCTTTTCCAAAACCTTTTATATAAATATATTTATCAACTTCATCTCTTGAGGAGAAGCCGTAGCACCCTTGCCTAGCAGGCACCAGGCCCTGGCTTCTGGCCCCAGCTCTGCAAAAAAGAAATAAAATAATCAAAAAGTCATATTCCAAGTTCATTGTAGACACTCTGGAAAATGGAGAACGTTCCCAAGAAGAAATGCAAGTCATCCTGGGCACAGAGCGTAGATAACCACAGCCGGCGTTTTGATGTCTTTCCAGCCGGGGTTGGTTACAAAAGAGGGTTCCCACTCGATGGCATTTTGTAACCTTTTTTCTCACTTATCAATGGCTCACATTTTCCCACGCACTACGTTTTCTCCTACAGTTTCCAGGGAGGAAGAGGCTGGGAATGCCCGTGACCCCCCAGGACCCCCCAAACAGCCCCCTCCCGGGGAATAGGCTCCTCTGTCCCCCAGGGGCGCCCACCTTGAGAAACATGCTCTTCCACCGCCTGGCGTCTCCGGAGAGCTCCTGCCCGTCCCTCCGAAGTCTCCTGTAGCCCTGCCAAGCTGAGCGGTGTCCTTGTCAACACGCCCAGGCCCCCACCGCCCCGTCTCCAGTCCGCAGCCGACTCTGCGCCCCTCTCCTGCCCTCCCTCGCCCACAGCCGCGCTTCACCTGTGCCCCGTTCCCACGGACAGCCCGAGCCCAGCGGCAAGCTGCTATCGGCGGCATCTGCTGCAATGGGGGTGACAGGCGAGGCACTGGCGGCCGGCCCGGGGACACAGGTGCGCGGTGAGCAGGGCTCTCACCCCGGGAAAGCCTTCGCTGGTGTAATTCAGGGGGACCCGGCAGGCTGAGAGCTCTTCGGGCGCCGGGTGCCGGAGCTCCTTTGATGTGTCTTCAACTCCCCCGGAGGCGACGCCAAACCTGCCCCGAGGGTGGGGCAGCCCCGGCCGGCCCCATTAGGACTGGGAGAAAGGCTTTTGAAGGCGGTGGCTCGGGACAGGTGGTTTCTTGATTCCACCATAACGTTGCGGCCAGGATGGGCTGGGGTGGGGTGCAAACGGCCTGCAGAGGGACGGCCTGGGCAGGGGTGGTGGGTGGGCAGCCCAGACCTGCTCTACCCAACCGGGGCTCCTGGGGCATCATCGCAGCACCTACCACACCCTCACAGGAGATGCATTCAGGAAAAGTGCTTGGCTGAGGAAACCCTGAGGCAGGTGGCAGAGCTGTACTTCAGGCTGGCCTTGAACTCACTACATGCCCATGCTGACCTCCAACCCAGGGTGATCCTCCTGCCCCAGCCTCCTGAGTGCTAGGATCACAGTTGTGTGCCACCGTGCTGTGGCTCTCCCAGTGTTTTTAAGGTACTTCCTCCCCAAGTCACATCTCCCTGTACAGGCAAGGGGGTGGGGGACTTGGAGCTCTTGGAGGGCCACCTGGGTTCCTGCAGCCCTGGGTCACTTCAGGACCCCATCTCTCCTCCTCCACAGCACCGAGGGTTTGTTTTTTTTCTGAGACAGCGTCTCGCTATGCAGTTCAGGCTGGCCTTGAGCTCACTTTGTAGCCAGGCTGGTCTCGAACTCACAACGATTCTCCTGCGACATGCGCTGTCATGCCCAGCTGTTTTTGTTTTGTTTTGTGGCACTGGAGATTAAACCCTGAGCCTTCACACTGAGTTATATCACCAACCCTTTTTAAAAAAATTTTTTTGAGATCTCAAAATAAGGTCTCCTTAAGTTTCCCAAACACTCTAGAACTTGTGAGCCTCCTGTCTCAGCCTCCCAGAGCGCCGGGATTACAGATGTGCACCACCACAGCAGCTCAGGTTTCATCACTGGTGTTTGCTGGGGCGTCCAGGCACGCACGACTCACTTGAACATGTGTGGGGGACTCACTGTCCTGGACAACTTGGGATTGAGGGGCTTTCGGGCGCTGTGTGGGTGTGGGTGTGCTTGGGGCGGTGTGTTGTGTGTGTGGAGGTGTGGGTGTGGGTGATTATTCATGTTTGCACAGTGGGTGCTGTGAGGACCCGGCAGGATGTCCGGGTTCGCGCTGCCCCGTAGGTGAAGATGTGTTGTGTGACTGTCCAATGGGCGCACGTGTGTAGGTTTGTGTGTGTGCAGCCTTTAGCACAGCGTGAGTACTATCCTTCACGTCCAACGAATGTGCGTGTTTGCAGCAGGGGTGCACATCTTGTGTGTGGCGCAGTGTGGAAAGCGCCTCCACTTGTGTGAGAAGAGAATAACGCGCACCTTGTGTCTGCGGGAAGGGTGAGCTGGCGTGCTGCCGGCATGTGTGGGAAGCAAGGGGTGGGGCGGGGCACGGGGGCGGGCCATGCCCATCACAATGGAGCTGGGGCGGGGCGGGGCGTCCTCCTGCTGGGGTCCTCCATCCAGTTGTCCTTGGGGTCACCTCTCCAGCCCCGCGTCGTCCCCCACCCCACCACAGCTGAGTGGTAGAGGCGCCCAGGGGTGCCTGAGCTCACGCCCCCTGCAGGCGACAAAGCTCAGAACAGCCAGCATCCCACAGTGTGATCCCGAGAGCCCCCGAACCCGAAGGAAGCTGTCCTGAATTTCTCACCACGGTAGAAAGAGAACCTGGTTTGTTGCTGTGAAACAGGTGGGAGGGATGAAGAGGACAGATGGTCTTGGGAAGAGCTTGGGGGAAACAGGACGGTAAATAAAGGGGCTCACTGTCTAGTACCCCCTGAGCACCGAAGGATTTACACCTCGAAAGTCAGGAGTTAGACTTCAGATTTGCCCCTGCTGGGATCTAGCACCTCTTTCTCCCATCCTTCCTCCTTTTTTGCACCATATTTTGGTGTCTATTTGGCCGGTTAAATTCAATCATAGGAAATTGTTATTTATGTCAAACGCCGGCAGTCCCATAGGTTCATCAGGACACTTTTATTTTTCTGAGACAGCATCTTGCTATGTAGTTCAGGCTGGTCTTGAACTCACTATATAGTGCAGGTAGGCCTTTAACTCATGGCGATCTTCCTGCCTCAGCCTCCTGAGTGATGGCGTTACAGTTGTGCACCAACACTCCCTGCTAGAGTCAAACTTTGATTGTTTGTTTGTTTTTGTGGTACTGGGGACTGAACTCAGGGCATTGTGCAGACAAGCACTTTATCACTGAGCTATATCCCCAGCCCTAGAGTCAAACTTTTAAACATGCCGGTTTGAGCAGGCTGCAAAAGGTGAGTCCTCCAGCATCCTTTACAAAGAAAGTGACTTGTCTTGTACCACTCCCCCCAAATAAAGAAAAAAGTGACTTTAAAATAACCAATTCCCCCAAAACCAACCAACCCACTTTTTGTTCTCTTTCTGCTTTTCTTGGTCTCTCTGTCGTCTATAAAACCAAACTCCTCAGCTCATTCTAGTTTGTGGATAAGATGTTGCCCCATTCTGGAATTACGAATAAAGCTGCTTTCAGTTTTTAAGTTTGTTAGAATTGTGTCTTTTGACACAGGCCACAGGAAATCACAGCGAAAGGACTTCTCCCCGAACTGCAGACACCCACAGGGAGACAGAGCTGAGTGAGGGGAGGGTAGGCGCTGGGAGGCATCTGTGTCACCGTGGGGTGCTGGAACCAAGAACCGCCATGGGGTGGCTTCATTAATATTCTTTAAAGATTAACCCTACAGCAGGGGCTGTTTGCAGCACTTGTGTTAACTCCTTTGATCCCCACACTAACCTCAGGAGGCAGAATCATTTAGATCCTCAGTTCACAAACGGAGAAGCTGAGACTTGGGGGACAGCCACTTGGCTGAGGCTGTCAGCTAGTTAGTAGTAGATCTTGACCAGGCTTCCTGAGCCCAGGGCACAGGCTCCTAGCCACGCTACATGGCCCACATTATATGTGTTAGGGTGCGCTGCAGGAGCACCCCCCAAATGTCCACATCTTGCCATCAGAGAGGCTTGTTCTTGCTCACTGTAGTGGACTGACAACTGGTGGTCAACTTATAACCCCCAGCTGAACTGAGTAAGCGCGGTGCTGGGTGTCGGAGGCCCACCTGGGGACTGTTACCAGCAGCATAAGAGGCAGAACTGGAGAAGGAGAAGTTAGGTTGTTGGGAACTGAGAAGGCTGTTGGGAGCTGGTAGAAGCTGTGAGGAGCTGTTGTTTGTTTTGGAGGAGCTCGTCATGCTGGCTTTCCTATGAACTCGGCTGCCTTCATCCTCCAAGGAACTCAGGACCTCGTTGGCACTGAGAATGGCTTTGGTTCACTTTGGGGGAGCATCGCTTCCTGGCTCCGGAGGGGAAGATGGTGCACTGCCGGTCTCCTGGAGAAGCTTGCTGCATCGGCTTCCGTGATGGGAACTCAGCTGTCTTCACCATTAGAGGAGCTCGGGACCTCACTGTTGCTGAGGATGGCTGTGGTACTTTGCAGGGGAGCTCTGGTTCTTTGAGTGTTGCTTCCTGACTCCAGTGCAGATCCCTCAGCCTGCTAGCACAGATCCTTCATCCTGCTGGCACAGACCTCTGAGATTCCACCACTGACCTTAGGGCCTTCCCAGGGCAGATCCATAAAACAGGCCTGCATGAGATATTGTTATGGGCTCTGGGCCTCCAGCTGGACTCGTGGGAGGCACTGTTATGGGCCGTAGGTCTTCAGCTGGACTCATGCAGGATATTTCCAGAGGATCTAGGCCCTCGGCTGGATTCTTGGTCTCTAGTATGTAGACAGATTTCCTGCACTTTCTTGTATATGATTCCTTACTATTATGAATAATCTTATAAAAATGTGTCCAGTATTATACTGTTTCCCCTTGCAAAAAGCACCAAACTATGACACTCACCTTAGGTGATCTCTGCCTGTTTGTCAGGCGTGGTTCTGTTCCACCTGCCTTGATGTGGCAGCAGGCTGATGGAGCAGCCCCATCACTCCCATAGAGAAGAGTGATCTAGGGGCTGGGGATTTAGCTCAGCAGCAAAAGCGCCTGCCTGGCAAGCGCAAGGTTGTGAGTTCGGTTCCCGGTACCGGAGAAAAACCAAAAAAAAAAAAAAAAAAAAGAGAGAGAAGAGTGATCTACTTCCCGGGGTGACTCCTGAGTCCATAATGAACATATTATTTCTTCCTGGATCTCATTGGTCAAAGCCTGTCATGTGGCCACACTTACCCTCCCTGCGGGGGGAGGGGAGGTGGTGAGACCTTCCAGTCCTTGAGTCCTGTGGCAACCTGCTGGGTGGTGAATAATCGGGAACTGTCTTAGATTTGGTTCCCCAGAATGGACCAAGTCAAGGACTTGCAGGCAAATGATTTATTAAGGAAGGGTTCCCAGGAGATTCCAGAAAAGGAGGGGACAGTGAGACAAGAGACAGAGACAGGCCAAGAAAGGGTATAATTTCAGGCCGAGCCCTGAGCTCAGACTGCTTACAGTGTAAATTATACCTTAGAGTTTATCTCAACTCAGGGTAAAGAAGCTGGGCTTTATACTTCCGCAGCTGTCAATCACTGCTAAGCACCGCCCCCGAGGCACCGAGGCAGCCAGGCACTGTTGGAATTCTGGGAATGAGGAAAGAGGGGTCCTGGAGAAGCCCTCCCTAAAAAGTTACAGATGCATGGATCGTCAAAGCCAAATCATGCAGAAATTGTTTTTGTTTTTGTTTTAATTTTCTGGTACCGGGAATCAAACTCACAACCTTGCACTTGCCAGGCAGGTGCTGTGCCACTGAGCTAAATCCCCAGCCCCAATTATGGAGAAATTGGGAGAGGGAACAGGATCCAGAAAGAGATCTCTGATCTGGGATGAGTGCTAATAATGTCTCTTTTTACATTGTTTCCTTTGAGAGTCAAAAATAGGACATTATTTCCCCCCATGGTTAAC